TTATTCATAACAATACTGAAAAGAATTTAAGGCATTTAAATCAATTGCACATGTATTCACCATATAATTTAATTAGCACTTATGGAAGGCACCATAAGAGCTCCTATTACACTGTTTCCATTACAAATAATTAAAAAAAAATATTTGTAGCATTAGAGACGGTGTTCACTTTGTGATTACAAGAGGGCAATTTGTTTAAAAGCTTCACTGACGTCATATATGTAATAGCTATTTGTCATTTCAGCAAAATGCAATAGATAGGTCTTTGCCAGGGGAAATATTGTTTGTCATTGTAGCAGTTCACATTACTTAAATTTTCATAATCAAGCCAACAGAGTTAGGTAATCACTATCTACTTAAATTGCCTGATTTGAAAATCAAATAGAAATTTCAGAAAAGGAAGAGAATGGTAACCTTAATGTCTGAAGTGACAACAATAATAACTACTTATTGAATAGCAGCATTTATTGAATACTTGCTATTGGATTGGAATTTCCTTTGAAAACTTACAATGCCTTTAATTTTCACAAATAACTCTAAAGTCTTACAAATAACCTCCACTTTACTGCTGAGGAAACAAACTCAGCCAGTTTCTTATGCAAATTATATAGGGTAAACTGCAGAGAGGCACAGGGAGGTTAAGTTGTACCAGAATGTTCATATTATCCCCAGTACAGGACATTGTTTTTATGAAAGTATAATAATTTAGTGTAAACAATAGGTGAAAATGCATGGTGACTTGCCTTTACATTTCCTTTTAAGGAAATCCAAAGGCATCTAAATTGCTATCTGATGATGTGTGCAGATAGCCCTTTACACAATCAAGGGATTCAAACCTATTTTCAGCTTTCATCACCAATATTTTAAACTTAGTAAAATAAAATAAAAATGGATTCCTTTCTATATATTTTTCAGAAGAGGAACAAAATATGTTTTTCCTTCTTCCACAATGAAAGACCAAGACATAACCAAAAGACTTTCTGAGCACTTAAAATATGATATCATGGTAGGGGGAATGCTCATCTCTGCACAGAATCACTGAACTTGAGATAGTCCATATAAGATATTGGTTGCTTCCTCTTTCCCCTTTCATATATGTTGGATGATTTCCCAAAAACATGGTAGGGCTCACCTCTCAAATTCTTCAGAGGGAGTACCAATTCATTGGGTAAACAGCACTGGTTTTTAAAACTGGAATTTTAAAGCCTTTAAAAGTAGACAGCTTTAAACATTCAATTGAAATTACTAATTAGTAGCAAATTAGATCTTGAAAAAAAATCATAGATTTGATAGCTACAGCCAGAGTGTGCTCCTTTCTGTGACTGTGAAACCACTCTTTATGTTGTTGGAAAGTGATGCATTCCTGATAGACTTACTTGTGAATGTATTCTCTTCAGGGATAAGACTTTACCTGGGACTCAATCATTACAAAAATGTTTCCTCAGTAGATCAGTATGTTTTCCAACTGGCATTAACTGAATAAAATTATCTTGAAACATGTTTGTGCATATTGCCTTTTGAAAGGCTCTGAGAAATTCTGCAATAAACTTGTTTTTTTAAATGAGCAACTACAATTTGAAAATACAGCACTGCTTCCCAGCATTTCCATTAATATCTGACCAGACAACTGCGTGATCCAGATACCCCCTTCAAGGAAGGATTTCTTTTCCTTTATTTGTATTTTTATTTACTTTTCACCACCACTACTCATTATATCCCTTCGATCCTTTCCCTCTCTCTTCTTTCTCTTAGCCTCATAAATCTCACTTCATTTACTCAAGTCCATTAGTTTTCATAAATATTTCACTTCATTGAATCATCTGCTATGTAAGTATCCAGTATTTGTCTTTGTTATTGTGATTTGATTTACTACACCTAATTCCCTCAAACTACTTCCATTTTGTTTTAATGGCAACATTTCATCTGTCCTTATGCCTGAGTAACAGTCCATAGTGTGGACCTAACATATCACATTGATGCAGTTTTCTATCAATGGACATTTAGGTGGCTTCCAGCACTAAGTTATTGTAAATAGTGCTGCGATAAACACTGAAGAACACAGAGGTTTCTGAGTTTCTGTCTTCATATTCTTTTCTCAGATACCCAAGGGTAGGATTGCTGGGTCATGCCATATTTCCAGTTTTTTTTTTAAGGTATATTTTGCTCATTTTCTTTAATGGCTGTACCTGTTTATAGTCTCACCAACATTGTAATAAAGTTACTGTTTGTCAGCACTTCTTGTTGGGGTATTTTTACTATGAGTCATTTTCACAGGTATAACATAGTATCACATTGTGGTTTTAACCTGCATCTCTTTTATTGGAAGTGATGATGAACATTTTCCCAAGGATCTGTTGGCCTTCTAGGTATCCTCTATGGTGAACTGTCTATTCAGATAACCCATTTATTAACTGGGTTGTTTTCCTGTTGTGTGTTTTTTATATATCTTGGAATATTAACCTCTTTTTTAGTTATAAGTATTTCCTCCCATTCAGTAGGATGTCTTTTGAATATACTCATATTTTTTTCTCATGTGTAAAATCTTTTTAATTCCAATTGTTTATTTTTGCTTTTATTTCCCTTGCTATAAGGTACCAGTCCCCCAAAACATCTTTATCATTGATGTCATGGAACAAATTACCAATGTTTTCTTTTATATATTTTATTGATACTGAGCTTATACTTAACTCTTTGATTCATTTAGAATTTATTATTTGTGCATGGGGTTAAGAGTGATTCAACTTCATTCTTTTAATGTGAATATCCAGATTTCCTAGAACCATTTATTGAAGAGACTCTTACCCCATTGCATGGTTGTGGCAATTTTATCATAAATTAAATATTGCTATATACATGAATTTATTTCTGGGCTTCTCATTCTATCCCATTGATGCATACATCTATTTTTATTATACTAATATCTTGTTTTAATTACTGCTACATAATAGTATAAAGTTAGGTAACATGATGCCCGCCTTTCTTTCCATCTTTTTCTCAAAAGTGCTCTTGCTATTTTGTATCCACATACATTTCAATATTTTTTTGTTCAATTTCTTTGAGAAATATCATTGGTATTTTTATGACAATTGTGTTAAATCTATATATTGCATTAGATAGGATAGTCATTTTGATTATATTGATTCTCCCTGTCCATGAGGATTAGATACCTTTCCAACTCCTTATTCACTATCAAATGCCTTGTATAATGTCTTTGCAGATCTTGTTGCATAGGTGTGGAAAGGATTCCATGCCTCAGCTGTCATTTTTCTCAGGGTATGCCTCAATCACAAAATGCTGCTTCTCACAAGGCTCATCCATCCCAGAACTGCTCACATGCAATGAGTGATAGACACCGGAAAAGAAAGGTGTGACTAAATTCAGATAAATGCAAGACAGCTTGGCTGAGCTGCATTTACAGAGCTCCTTCAGGGATAGACTGAAGCTTGTTGAATGTAAATCATCAGTCACTGTTTTCCTCTGTCTATTCTGCTGCTTCTACTTCCATTCAAAGATATTGATTCCTAATAAATACTTTGCCTTCCAAACTCCATCCTAAGCAACTGTTTCAAGAAACTCTACCCTTGAAGAAAAGTATTTCATAAAACATTGACTTGGGGAAACTCCTTTGAAGATAACAATCTTAAAAAATCATTACTACCACCTTTCTATCTTAAACCTTTTCACTTAATTTTCTTTTAATTAGGTATATGATTATTAATTAGGCACATACGGATTAAGTCAAACAAAAAAAGAAAGAAAGCATTAACACCTTCACTCCAGGCATATTTGGAAACTGTAAGACAATTGTGACAGTATAGGATTCCAAGCTGACTCTTAGTGCCTTAGAACTCTATGGAGAAGCAAGAAACATATGTAGGGAAAAATCAGAATAAGAGATTAAAAAGTATTTTACCAGAATGTTATACAGCTGGAGCCATACACTATGTAGTCTTTTCAAACTGGCATACTTAGCAATATGTAAAGTTCCTCTCTGGTTTTTATAACTTCATAACTGTAAAGGGCAGGAATGACCACTGAGCAGGTTTTCTGATCCAGCAGACCGGGTAAAGGAGGAATCAGAGTCCTTAGTGGCTTATTGCCGGTCTTTTTATTGGGATTTACCCTGTACACAGCAGGTAAGGGTGCTGGGGGGCCTGGAGGCTGGCAGGCCTCCCAGCCCCCAGCAAGTCTTCATTCTGTCTGGGCTCTCCGGCCTTCTCTCAGCTTCTGCTTCTCTTGCTTCTCTCTCAGCTTCTCTTTTGGCTTCTACTGGCATCCCCGTGATGCCGCCCTTAAAAAGCACAGTCTTAGCCCAGGTGAATCCCATCTACCTATGCCCACACCCTACTCCAGGTGCCCGCCATCAGGCATGCATTCAGGACAAGGATCCATCATCTATCCTGATGGCAGGAGGGCAGAAAAGCCTGACATTTTTCCTTACCCTACAATAACTCACTTCTTTTTTATCACCAAATAATATTCCATTGTTGTACTTTATGGTCAGTTTTTCTGTAAATTTGAAACTGTTCTAAAAGGTAGTCTATTACTTTTTAAAAAATAAAAGAAAGGAAAAGGGAAGATTTTGTTAAAAGAAGAAAAGCAGTTTTATTTTTCAATGAGGAATGTATAATGTGCTCTCAGAACTAGTCACAAAAGGGAGGACAGAGTCAAAATATTAAAGGAAAAAAAATAATCTGAGGAATTTTGGAAATATTTAGAAAAAAAGGGATTTTGTCTTGAATGGGCTCCTCCCTTCCAAATATAACTTCTTCTATATAAAATCAAAATGCTCAAAAGTTTCTTTGAAAAAACCCCTATGTATGTGAGGCACCATGCTGTATTCCAAGATGGAAATTGCTATGGACTAAATTGTGCACCCCCAAATTTTTAAATTAAAGCCCTAACCTTTACTATATTTGGTGATAGAACTTTTAGGAGATAATTAAGGTTATATGAGGTCATAAGAGTGGGGTCCTAACTTGTAGATTGATGGCCTATAATGAGAGGAGGAGAGAGATCTCTGCATGACCTAAAGAAAAAGCCATGTGAATTCAGTGAGAAAGCAGCCCTTTACAAGCCAGAAGAGAGATTCACCTGAAACTGAAATCACCAGGACCTTGTTCTTGGATTTTCCACCTTCCACAATAGTGAGAAAATCAATTTCTGTTGTTTAAACCACTCAGTCTATCATACTTTGTTATGGCAGCCCTAGCTGATTCAGACAGAAATTATCCTAAAAGAAGAAGCGGCCTCTTCCCTGTCAGATTTTATATTCTGCCAGAAACAGAAAACACTGGCAAGACCCATGTCAAGAAGGGAAATGTGCCAAAAGTATGTGTCGTGTATGAGTAGGAGAGGAGGAAGATAAAATACACACACAGATCTCACTTTATTTTAGTTGGATGTACCAAGTTTACTTGATTATAAGATATTTATAATTTTATAATCTAGTAAGCACAAAATAAGCATGTTGGGTGAGAGACATAATGAAAGGAAAATATTCTTTAGCAGGAGCAAAGACCCTACAGAGAAAGTATGACAGTTTGGAGAGTGGAGGTGGTGTAGGGTGAAAATTGGTGATACAGTCTTTCGGATTAAATAAGACAGAGCAAGTAAAATGAACAGAAGCCACTGCACCTAAATGCAGAACTTCATTTACATAGAAACAGGAACAATTTCATGTTCAAGAAATGTCAGTTTTCTATAAATGCGGAGGTTCAGTCATTACCACCAGAATTATTCATTATACTATGATTCAAAACAAGATGAATATACTGGGCCAACACTAGGACTCCAATCCCCAAAGAAGCCTTTCATGTATTTTTCAAAACTAGCTTTGTCCATCTGAAAATAGATGTTTGCTGAGTATGTGATAAGGTCAGGAAATAAAAAAAAATAGAAAGGAACTAATTTCTTCCCTAATTCAAGTGATCTAGGACTAGTCATTATAAATATTTGGGGTATAACTGATTTGCATAAATTCTCATTTCCTTAATTATTTTAAACTTAAAACTTGGCAATGCAAAATATTACTATTTGAATTCTCATTCCAACTGTCTCTGCCTCCCTCAGTCCCCTGTAGGCCACGTCTCTCTTTTTTCTTTTTTTTTTAAAGATTTATTTATTTATGCATATAAGAGCTGGGGTATAGGCCAGAGATGTGGGGGGTGAGAGGATTCACCAGAGACAAAGTGGGGAACAGAACAGGCAGATTGACAGGAGTACACTGCTGAGGGGAGCAGCGGGCAAGTCAGGTGAGGTCTGCTCTGCCATGTGCATTGCTCCCTGGCCGGCCCGGGATTGAACCCATGCTGCAGAGGCTGCAGACAGCTTCACAATGCTGAGCTCAACCCGCTGCATCACCAGAGAGGCCCCACATCTCTCTTCTTTCTATTATTTACCACCTACATCATATCCATCTTTCAAGCCCTGCCTGAGATTTTCACTTCTTCCATAAAGTCTTATAACTTGGTTTTGGAATTCTCTCTCAGTCTCTGTCTCTCTCTCCTTGTATGTGTTTGTGTGCACGTGAATGTGTGTGTATGTGTGTGTGTTGAGATACAGGCATACACCCCTATTTATCTTTGTCAAGATTTAGTGAATCTTATGAAACTGAAATCTCATCCCTGACTTCTGTTTCAGGATATTTTGGTCTACTGTTCCTTTCATAAATTCTTTATCATCATAGCTACTGTTCTCTCAAATTAAGCTCCTATTAAACAGATTATGAATTTTGAATGCATGCTATTAGTTTTTGAATTGTTTTCTTATATATTTCATCTCTTCTCTGTTTGACTCCATGTTTACTTCCAGATCATACATTTTTTTTTATTTCAATAGTGATCATTCTGGTTTTGTTCAGTTATGAATATATATTTGCATTTAATCTCCAAACACTTATTTTCTGTTATTTTGTCATAGCATGCTGAGTTTATGTTATGCATGCTTTATTTTGCCTAATTTTATTAAATAAAATAAATAAATGTTTACTTCATTCTTTTGCTTTCATGGTTTGGTTTCACTCAAACAAGTGTTAGCCCTTGGTTGTTTGTTCATGTTCACGTTCATTCATAAAATGGGCTAAGGAAGTCTGGTGATAATGGGGTTTCCCTGATGTCCTTTCATTCTTTTCTTCCATAGACTTCAACTCCAAATGGAAAGACTCAACTTAGGTTCTGCATATTTCAATTAACAAAGTACTGGAGGTGCATTGAGATGGAGGTTTTTCTGTCTTAGACTGAAATAAGATGTATTCTAGTAGCAAATGTGTTTCTCTCACTCAGTAGAATAAAATTGATGTTCATCACCTGATTTCTTCTTCCCTCCTTTGTCTTTTTCTCAGAGGAATTTGGAGTTAGCGCTCAGTACCCTGAGCCATACCCGGCGAGTTAGCAAGGTTTATTCATTTTTTTGGGGGGTGGGGGATTTTAGCCAGGGGTGAAATGCTTATACAGGAAGCAAGGAGAGAGAGAGAGAGAGAGAGAGAGAGAGAGAGTGTGTGTGTGTGTGTACCAGAGAGAGTAACTAGCACAATTTATTTAATTTTAGTCCTTTAATAAATAACTCTGTACAATGCTCCAGGAACCCATTTTATTTTGTTTGTTTTGTTATGTTTTCTTGCATATATTCACTTTGAGCTTGATATTTCTCTGTCTCTGTTACTATCTCCACAATTTTTCCAGGCCCATGCTTTATACTGTAGTTTACCCAGTTTCACTGGACCACCAATCAATCTACTTTTATATTTCAGAATTCTCTTGCAATATCTTAGATTGTCTTATTTTTCATCTGTTGTGGAACCAGACTTTGTTTTGTTAAAGTTGAACTAAACTTAGTAAATATAATTTTAATTTTTGAACATATATAAAAATTCAAGTTTGAAAAATGTCCTTCAACCACATAAATATCAGATATATTTTTTAACCATATGGCTAGTTTGAATTTCATAATGAACTATTATTAAAGTGAGTTAATATGCCAGTAGGTTTCTTTTTATGTATATGTAACCTATTTATGATAAATAAAATCTTGACAAAAGCGTAGAGATTCCATATCAAAAGTTAATTCAAATTCATACCTTTAAAGTCACATTTGACTCTGTAAGTAATTTTTTGGACAAAGTTTTCATTTTGATCTAATCTTAAAATGTATTCCATGACAATTTATTTTACTTAACTAGAAAAATGTGAATGAGAAAATGATACTTCCTTTATCCACTAAAATGTTAATATCTGTGTATATTTTAAAAACAGCAACATGGAGCAACTTGTTAATCTTTTTAGGCAGAATTACATCTTGGCCATGTCTTAAAGCCACATGGAGCCTCAGGTTGTTCATTACTGGCTTAAGATGTCTCCAAATCCTGGGGGCACTTGCATTTTAAAAGAGAACTCTTGTAGCACAAAAACCTTGAAGACCAAAAGAAATTATCTCTAAAAGCGAATTTTTGGATATTATGAGAGTTCTTGGGGCAAAGAAATAAGGACATTTTTAAATGGTACTCCTTCTTCCCACCCTCAAATTACATCATACAAGTTTTGGTAGGGAAAAGCAGGAGATCCTATAACCCTTTATTTCCCATAGCAAGTAAAATTTATTTAAAGCTGTCAAAAATATTAAAGAATTGTCAAAAGCACATCAAATCATTTACATATTTTGGAATACATATACCACATTGTATTTTTTTGTCGATTATTGTATAAAATGTTACTTTGAATTAATTACTTAGTTCAAATAATCTCTTTCTTCTTTATCCTAAATGGTTTGAGTCAGATGATTTACATGATACATACAATATTAAATGACATCTATGCATAGATATGGATATCCAGTTGGCATCAAGCATCTTTGGAATAATAATATTGATGATAGTAAATTTCCCTGAGTTAAGCCAAATGCAAAAATTTCAGATGCCCATAAGAGTAGCATAATACCCAGCTGAAAAGGGCATAATTTAAACAGAACTCTTCCACTGAGACACAGTAGATCAAATCAATGACACAGCTAGGAAATTACAGACCCCAGAGTATCCAAAAACTTTGTTTTCTCTTTTACCATATAAAAATACAATGAGTCTCAGTCTCCTTTTCTTTCTCATTTTCTTATACATTCTACTCCTGAACCTGCAGTTATGTGTAGAAGTCAGCAAGTAAATAGATGAATAATACTCTAAAATCCTAGAAATAATTGAGATACCAGAAAATCAATTCCTTTATCTTTCTTATTTTGTATAAAGAAAAGCACAAGTTGTAAAGAAACAAAAGTATAAGGAAACAGGAGAAATAAAATTCCTGTCCAGCAAGAAGAACCCTAAAATGAATTTTGACCTCCACCCCCACCAAATGCACAACTAGAAAAATTATTTAGTGATATCGTGGGCATGCTATTTTGCAAACCAGGTTATATTTTCCCTATATTTAAGCAACATAGTTATCTTTACTTAAAAAATAAAGTTGAGGGCCTCCCCTGGTGGCGCAGCGGTTGAGCCCTGGGCTGCGAAGCTGTGTGCAGCCTCAGCAGCACCAGTTCGATCCCCGGCTGCCAGGTGAGGGCCCCACATGGCGCGCAGACCTCTCCTGCCGCCCGCTGCTCCCCTCAGCCGTGTACTTCGTCACTCTGCCTGTTCTGCTCTCCGCTCTGGCTCTGGTGAATTCTCTCACCCTCCCACGCTTCTGACTGTACCCAGTGCTTATATGAATAAATAAATAAATCTTTAAAAAAAATATAAAGTTGAAAACTGGAGGAACAGGCTTTTAGATCTCATTGTATAATGAATATTGACTATCTATCTTACACTTGTGAGATAAGAGAGAAACAACATGAAAAATATATACCTTCAAGCATTTACAAAGATAAAAGGTATGAACATTAGGCAATCTTCTCTGTGCCCTCTCTGAGTCACACTTTTATCTTTACATTGATGGGAACAACGACTAATTGCATTATGCCTAGTAGTCATTTTTCTTTTTATTTTATTTATTTATTCATTTATTTTAATAGAGGCATGTTTTATTTATTTATTTATTTGTTTGTTTATTTTGTTTATACATGCACTGGGTACAGTCAGAAGCGCGGGAGGGTGAGAGAATTCACCAGAGCCAGAGCGGGGAGCAGAGCAGGCAGAAGGACCGAAGTACACTGCTGAGGGGAGCAGCGGGCGGCAGGAGAGGTCTGCGCGCCATGTGGGACCCTCCTCCGGTGGCCGGGGAGCAGCCGGGGATCGAACCGGTGCCGCAGAGGCCAAGGGCAGCTTCGCAACCCAGCGCTTAACCACTGCGCCACTGGGGAGGCCCCTCATTTTTCTTTTTAAAAGCATCCTTTTCATGAACAAATAAAGTATCTCAGACCATTGAAACAAATAAATACAAGGTTTTAAAATTATTCCTTTTAGCTTAGAATTATTGTCTATCTGACTTATTTTTTAACTGTTAGAAACATTATCTCAGAATCTACTGGATATCACCAACATAAGAAACTTTCATGTTCACAGAAAGAGCAGGTGTGCCCTCAAGAAAAAAAAAAAATCTTGTTTTCATGCAATTATCTTTTTTAATGAAAATAAATTAAGGAGAAAAATTCACAAGGCCATATCAACATCAGTATCTTCTCTATTTCCCCCTCCCAAACAGTTTCTCCTGAAACTAAAGCAGCTCTTTAACCTCCTCAATTCTTAAATCATCTACTAAGTAAGCACTCATCATGCTAAGTGCTGAAATCTGAAAAGAATCTTGCTGATTGGGTTTCAAAAACAGTCATTCACCTCACAAGAGTAACTTTTTTTAATTAAGAACTGAACAGTAGGTAGATTACAAGATGGTAGAACACATAAAAGAAAGTATTAGGGATGCAGAGAGAATCTTAGATAATAAATATGAAAAGGCTTTCTAAACATTGTGGCCCCAAATGCATTTTATGCTACAATTCAAGAGATCAGATGAGGAGAAAATGAGAACATTATAGTCCAGAATAAGAAATTAAGATACTTGGATCAAAGGAGGTGCTGAAGTATTTCATAATTTCATTCTTGTTCCATTTATATAAAAATGAACAATAGGAAAATTACAGCGGTTTGGAGAGAAGTGTAAAAACAGCAGAAGTCTTGGGAACCAGATGGCTGATACTATGAGAAGTTCAACACTGTCAAAAACCCAATGAACCTCACCTAACCTGTCCATGAGTGGGTGAGTGGAGAAATGCTGAAGATTATACTCTACATTTTTTTCTGTGTATTTTAATGTTCTAACTTCTGATAATTTATTCTCCGTAAATGAGCACTTTCTCCCTCTTGATAACACTGCTTGATAGTGTACCATCACTTCGATTCCTTTTTCTTGTCTGAATATTCCTCTTGGTTTTGTCAGCAATGGTGTCAAAGGCAAAGAGAAAAACGATTAACAGGAATTCGTTTCTCATCCATTGCTTTAGGTTGGTATTTTAAGAAAGTGAACAAGGTGCTATTAGTCTGACTGGAGAACTAGAAGTGTTTTTTTTTTTTAATGTAAGCATACAAAACTTTAAATTATTAAGCATTATGTTGTGGAAAGAAAGCATTTCTAGAATGGTTAGGAAATTCCAGTAGAAGAAAATGAACTTGACTTTTGTTTTGAAAGGTAGGAGAAACACATATGGGAAGAAGGACAGGAAGGTGAATAAAGTAAATAGGAGGAATAAGACCAAAAGAAGTGACAAATTGCTTCTTTCATGCAGAAAGTTTTTCTTCTACAAAAAGTTCAACTAAATTAAACAATATGCCCAATGACATATTTTATTTTTCCTTTGGCATAAGTTTCTGTATTTTCTCATGGCTCCCTAACAGTTTGTGGATTTTGTTATTGTGTTTGGACCTTTGATAATCACTGGCATAGCTTCTAAGAAAGGCTGGAAATTTTTGATCCAGAAAAACCTAGAAAATAACATAACAGAGTATTTTCACTAAAATATTTGAATATTTTGGTGGCTTGTAATTGTCTAGAAGGTATCAATAGAATTCTTAGAATAACCTCCATTTATGTTGTGTTTCCCATGCATCAGACTCCAGGACACACACATGATATCAATAAATTCTCTGAACAATCTTCTGGGGTAGGTACCACCATTATTTATTTTAAGGCTTAAAGAGGTAGCAAGTGGCAAGATCAATATTTGAACACAAGGAGGCTTAACCGAGGCCCAGTGCTCTTAACATCTATGCATACAGCTTTCTTCATATAAGAAAAAATCAAGTGAGAAGATTCTCAAATACAAAAGCCTGACAAAGGGGTCCACAGACATTCTAAAAACCCAGATGCCACTGGCCAAATCATGGATGAGGCATGAGAGTGCCACAAAATGATGTATCACCACAAGGCCATCAAAGTCTAAGTCTCTATGATTAGGGATTCCTTTCTTTGGATCTTGAAAGCTTTTTGGATAAGCAACATCTGCTAATAAGAAGGGAGATATAAAATCTCAAACTTGACTCCTATTGAATCAGACCTTGTAAGGTTGGAAATTTGCATTTTTTTTTTGAAAACTCCTGAGGTGATTCTGAAGAACAGACACACAGGGGAATCATTGCTTCAAGTTAGTCTGCTACAAAGCTGGTGGAAGTCTGTCAGTGCCAGAGTGGTATGGTGTTAGGACAGTGACAGAGAAGTAAGGAAAAATGAAAGCACTAGGTAGAAATAACATTTTCCACAATTTTCCCCAGGTTCAGTCTTGTCAAAGAAAATTATTTTTAATACTGCCTTATCTCTTTCAGAGCTCTGAGGGACTCTGCAGCAAACTGACCCAATGAACTAAATAAAAGTTATGGCACATTCTACAGGTCTGACTTAGTCCCTTAAAGGAATGAGTGTCCTGGGGACAGATAACTTGAGTGAATACAATATCCTGCATTGAACAGACAGTTGGAAACCAACCGTGAGCATCACTACACATTCAGTGGCACAAACAATGTTACACTAAAGTGACTAGATGTGATTTCAAGAACAAGTTCCTCATCAAAATCATATCTGGTAGGGATGTTTTTTACTAATGATAAATTGATATTCTACTTGGCATTTTGGCATGTCACTTTGGCTCTCACATTTATAAAGCAGAAAAATGGAACTGCACATAGCAATAATCCTTGGGGTATGGACCAATACCAGGAAAAGCTCAGAAAGGAAGTAGATCTCAAGTCAAGCATTGGCTTTGAGAACAGCTTGATTTCCTATTACCCTGGTTCATTGTTTATATATTTCTATACACTTAATGCCACCTATAACTTATGCAATATTGTCAATATTCATTAAGTATTGTTTTCAAGTCAATCTAAATGGATTTAGGAAGTTTAAAGACTATTTTAAGAAAATTAACATTAGAACTATGATTTTTTATGTCTAGACCTGAATGCAATGCAGGGCATTCTGGTTCATTTAAACCATTAGGCAATGCTGATAATAACACTTCACATTTAATGAAAGCAAATCCTAAACAGAAATATTAATGGAATAGTCCAGAATATCTAGAGCTTTTGGTGAGTTTAAGAGTGTTTACCTAAAAAATTCCTCTGTTAACTTACTCATAATAGTAAAAATAGAAATGATGTTTGCTTAAGGTTGTCACATATATTTACTGGAAGATGATGAGGGTTGTTTATTGAGAACAAGGGTAGCTATCATCTGCTCAATTTTTTTTTAAATGGTAAGGGTTAGAAAAGTCTACTTGTCTTAGAAGATTTCAAAATCTTATTCTTGCACTGTTCATGCAGGGGAGCAAGAAGATTTAATTGTCAATAGTTGCTAAGAAAGGATAACATTAGAATATATACACATGGGACAAATGGATGAGAATGTTTCCATTCAGTAAATGTACACACTATCGTGCTGTATGCTATTGAATGTACAAAATGTGAGATTCATTGTAATTAGTGTGGGCTGAATTCAGATATTGATACCGGGTGCCAATAAAAGTTTGGATGTTTATCTGAAATTCATGTGCACAGTCTGTGCTTCCTAATCAACAAATGGTGAGAAAAAACTCTAATCAATTTCTTTTAAAGCTGCTGATCACAGATGGGGAAATAGAGGTGGGTATATCCACTCAGTAAGAAGAAAGATTCAAGAAAAATAATGTATAAACATTTGCAAACTTGGAAAGTTTGTTTGAGGGTTGGTGCAAGTGAAAGAATTTAAGGTCATTTCTCATTTCATCCACATAAATCTTCTTAGTCTGGGTTATACATTTAGGAGGATATAATCTATAAAATGCTCCAAATCACTTACATTTCCTTCACCCAGATGAATTTAGTGTGACTGGAAGGTTCTGTTCAGGAAATGAAGGTTTCCAAATTGTGGCTGGTTTTATCAGAGGGTGACTCTTCCCTTGGAGGAATCATCAGATATGTGAGGAAAGGGCCTGTCCAGCAACAATCAGAGACTGTGTCACAGTGCTGGCAGGGCAAAGACTACGCAATCTAAAAATGAAATGTGCTGTTCAAAGGATGCATTCCCTATGTGCGATCTGTTCTCACTGGTTTAACACACTCCTTCAGCTTGGATGCCCTCATAAGAACCAGATAGGGAAAGGAAAACTGGAACTTTGAGCCAGCGTAATTATTAGTGAGGTATGTTTGGTCTTACTGATTTATATAGGATCTCAGGGAAGATTCTGGAGAGCACAGGTCTCTACTTGCTCCTGCTCTCTGCCTTAGCAAGCACCCTCCCAGAAGGTATATGGGAACAAGTAGAGGAAGAGAGTCAAAGGTGAAAACTGGCATGAAGGTGATTTATTCTAATAAAACTTGGGCAATGCATCCCTGTCACACTATCAGCTGTCAAAATGCCGCTGGTCCTATTATTTACTTGTTTCAGTACTTACTCCTGAAAATCATCAATCTTTGAAATTGGCACTTTAATTAAAACCTAACGGGAAGTGGTTGATGTGAGATCGTGCAAGTGTGTATGGGTGAATGTGTCCACTTACATGTTGTTTGGGGTTTGTGCATGATCATGTAAGTTACCATTTTAAAACAAATACATACTTTCAAGTTTCATTCTATTTTATGCACTTAGGTTTGTGTAAAGGCATATATGTGGTTTTGGTAAAACTTGTACTCACATGGAGGCACATCTGAAATTGTAGTAAATGAGTATATCTTATAAAAGAGGCCAACTACAAATCCTTTCAAAAAACAAATATGTATTTTAAAAGGTGAATAACATACCTTTCTTTAGCTTTTAAGTGGCTTGATGTTTATAGGTTACATTTATTTTAAACAGGAACGAACACTCTAGGTGAGAGTATTGTCAGTCGTCAGTGAAAAGAATCACCAGATCTGAGAATGTTCACCATCAGAGCAACAACTAGGAAATCTATGTCTCTCTCTATCTATGTGAGACCTCAGGTTATTCCCCACAGAGGCTTCACTCAGAGAATAATATTGCTGTTTCCCTCCTATCTTGCCTATTGGTTGTATTCTCCATCTGGGGCAGGATCATCTCCCTTCTGCTTTCCCTCCCATCAGACACCAAGTTGGATGTACCCTCTTCTGAGAGAAACTTCTCCCTATACACCCCAAGCTTATCAGAAATCTTTCAATGTTCTGTCTTCAGTTAACTGTCAATGCTGATATAATGTTAATAGATGCAAAGTTTAGATGAGATTTTCCGCAGGGAATTTCCTTTTAACTAGGGCAAAGCCATGACTGATGCAAATGATCGCCTAATGGAATGTCATGTTCCAGAACCAGAGTCAGTGATACACATAAGGGGAAATATTAATCTCTGTCTCCAAGGAGTTTTCACTTTTTGGGGGGTTATCTCCCAACAGTTTAAAGAAGTGTGAGATGCTGTTACAACAGTGTCAAAAGAAGATGCCATTGTAAACCTTGTATTTTGTTTTCTAGGAGCTAAAAGGCCAAGTTGATTATTTGATCCCACTGTGCAGCATACACACCATGAAAACTCACCCAGCAAAATCCCTTTGGCCTGCTCTAAGGGATCGTTTTTCAGCAAGTCATAGTCACCCTCACATGTTGGTGGAAGAAGGGGTAAATCTGGAGCGGAAAGTTCCAGGCTGTTAGTCTGGAATCAGGAATAAATAGAAGGACATTTATGTTTGCCAAGAAAGGATCATCTGCAATTGGGGCAATCTAGATAACAAAGTATCACAAAAGCAGAAGTATGTGGTGTTTTAGGTACATCAGTAGAAAAAGCAACTCAAAAGTAACAATGAAATAATTTCTGGATTCTGTTTGCTGTTATTTCTAAGTTGAATGTGGAAATGCATATGCTGTTACAACCTCCATTCGTTCAGAAGGCACATGCTAGGTACATGGTGGCATGTTGGCAATCATCTTGCAAGATGCAGATGAGACTGGTTTGGTGAAGAGTGAGGAGAGGGGACTGTATCACAGGCTGTGAGGAGAGCTTGCATGACAGTGTGAGATGGTACTTCATGACAAGTGAACATGGTACTTCACAGAGTAGAGGAGAAGGAGAAATAAACCTGTATAAGGCTGAGGAAACTCCTACAGGGGCTCCCCTGCATTTGTTTGCTAGGGTTCCTGTCACAGAATACCACAGACTGGGTGAATTTCACAACAGGCGTTTTCTCAATGTTCTGGATGCTAGAAATTCAAGATTGCGATGTCAACGTATCTGACTTTTTCCTAGTTCTTTCTTCTTGGATTTCAATGGCCACCCTCTTGCTGCCTCTTCTCATGTCTGTCCCTCTGTGCATGCACGCCCTAGGTGTCTCTTTGTATGTGCAAATGTCCTCTTACTCTAAGATATTAAGTCAGATTGGATGAAGGCCCACCCCAATAGCCTCTGTTTAACTTAATTTCATTACTTTAAAGGTTCTATCTCTAAATATAGTCACATTCTGAGGTACTAGAGGTTGGGGCTTGCTTCAGCACATGAATTTGGGGGAACATACTTTACCACATACTCCAACATGCTATTATCAAATCTAAGGCTTAGTGTGGTCCTGGTTACCTACACGGTGTCTTTGTTTTTTCTCTTTCAGAATTTTACCAACACAGCTTCAGGATATCACTTCCTGCATGTGCCATTTCCTCCCAGGGATGTGGCCTCTACCTCCAGTTGTATTAAACGTCTATACAGTAACCACCTCTGAAGTCCAACATTTGTGTCCCTTTAATATTTGGTTTAGATTATGAATCATAAATTAAATGCCTATGAGACATGAGCAGGCAACACAAATGATGAAATTATCCCAGCTTAGGCTATTAGGAGTGCTGGGAACTGCAATGGATGGAATTCAGAAACTCCATGACTCTTCTCAAGGAGCAGGGCTGCAGAGCACTAGCTGATGTAAGCCACGTGGAAATCCTGGTGGTACTAGACATTCTGACTTTTCAAGAGGAACTGGGAATATAATTAAAATTTAATTTTATTGAATTTTAGTTGAATTCTTTTAATTTTTATTTTTTGTGAACTATTTTACATGATAAATAAACCATGTTGTTCTTCTGTTTAGAGTGCCTCTTCAAGATTTATCCTGCATCTTTAGAGAAACTATTTCAGAACCAGTGGTCAATACAAACATTCCCACATATACCAAGAAAGTCTAGAATAGAGTATTCATGGAAGGAGGTGGATTCATTTTTATTTTACAGAATCCATCTTAGGTGATGCCTAAGATGCCTATGTATGTTGCATTGGAAAATGCTACTTGGTGTGAAAGAAAAGCTACAAAGGTATTCTCAAGCAATAAAAAAAAAATCAGCGAAACTATAAATAAAAAAAAAAAGGAAGGCTAAGTAAAGAGGAGAATGAGACAAGGGAAGCAGAGACAGGTGAGCCAGTGAGATGGGGGAAAGGTTGTAGATCAGAAGAGGTAAATGGTCTGAGTAATTAGAAACAATTAGAAAGACCACATGGAAGTAGAGGCACTTGAACTAATATGTGAACAGAACAACAAATTTTCATATTGGAATTCAGTAAATATAGCAACATGTTTTTATATTTGGGATAGAGTAAGGATTGTTGATTATCTGAGG